GAGGGGGGCAGCCAGACACAGAGGGTCCCCTTACGGCAGGGGAGCTCCTCACTGAAGGTTTCTTCGGTGCACTTACCCTGTCCTGCTCAGCTTGGAGGGATCCTCATCTGCACTGGGTTATACAGGGAAAAAAACCAAACTTTTTGGGGCTGCTTAAAGAAAATCAATGAACATATAGATAAGTTAAGTTGATCAATCCATGTGTTGATTTTCCATACTTAAAACCTGTTTGAAATCACATAGTGTATAAACAAATTCTTATTTCCTTTTCCCTTTAAGTTTAGTTTCCTATTTCCTTTTCATTTTAGTTTGAGTGCAGCTTGAAGGCAACTAGTGAACACTGAAGCATTCTACGGGTGTAAAAATCTGGAGAACTGGGATCCTAGAATACTTTTGCAAAATCCGGGGCCCCAAAACATGTACACATAGCTGAACGGCTGCTCCTTGGTAAGATGAAGAGGGCTGCTCTGGGAGCTGGGATGACAGGGTTCTGTGCAGAAGAGCCATTTTACAACATTAGGATGATCCAATGTTCCCCAACATGCACCTGGAAGGGGAAATAGTGCCTGGACCCTCAGAGCCTCCAGTGAATTTGTGAGAAAGAAAACCATCATTTGCTTATTCCTAGACAACAAGTAGCATAGTGGTGTGACCCTGTGAGAAGCAGAGCTGGTAGTCTGGGCTCCTGGGTTCTCCTTGTTCAGCCACAAATTTGACTCTGGTCTCCCCGAGGAGCCTGTCCTCCTGCACGCAGTCTGGTCAGCAAAAGCAGCTAGGACCAAACTGGTGCGGGGAGTGGCGTCAGCAATCACTGAAGGACAACAGGAATTGACAGACTCATTTTCCTTCCTCACACATAGAAAAAATGTATTAATAATGAAAAGCAGCTAGGGCTTTAAATAATTGGAAGCACAGAAAAAAGAAGCGCAATGTATTCCATAGCTTGATGGGGTTTAAAAAGTCTCCATCTAACTCTGTTGCTCCCAGCGGGTTGGCAAAACACAACCTGTCTTTTTAAAGCAGTGGTTTGCAGACAGCAGGAGAGTGCAGCTTGGGCTCTCCGCCCCGCTCTGACACGGAGACTCCCACTCCCCCTCCCGTGAATCCTGGTCCCAGGGGGGTCTTGCCAGCCACCCCGTGGTGAATTCAGCCGAGTGCACTTCTAGGCATTGCCAGCTGCCCCCCAGCACTCATGTGAACCTGCACAGCTCTTGTCCCCAGGGGATCCTGTGGCCCCACACAAGGCTTGCTCTGTCCTGTCCCACCTCTCCTGAAACTCACCTGGAGAAGCTGTACAGCCCCATGGGGTGGGTCCTCTTGAACTGCTGCTGACCTGGACCCTGCAGCTAGTCCGGCTGCCTTCACCTACAACCTGGTGCCCTGCCACGTGGCCTGGGCTTTAGTGGTGTGGGAGAGACGATTTCGTCCTCAGGCCTCTCCACCACACGGACAGTGCCCATGCATTTTGGGGATGAGGATATGGCTGTTATCCTGGCCTGAGCTGGGGGGACTTTGATACCAGACCTGCCCTTCTTGCCAAAACACTCAATGCAACATTATCCTTGACTGGTGTCCAGCTGCTCATGGTCTCTGTGGGTGCCATCCTTTTCCTGCTGTGCTCTTCAGCAGCTAGGTGCATCAGTGTCTCTGGAGTCCCTTGCCCATAGGACAGCACCCATGTGAGCTGGTGGAGCAGCAGTGGGTGCTGGCTGGAAGTGCCACAGAAGAGAGACTCATGGATGGGCCAGGCAGCCCTGCTCCTGCTTTGTGCAAGCTGGCATCAGTGCAGTGTTAAAGAGCAGTGACAAAAAGGCCCAGGAGATGTTCTCAAAGGAAACCCTCTGGACAGAAGAGAAGGAGGGGTGTAGAAGGATGAGCTCCAGACTGAGCCGTCCATCTGGTCCTTTAAATTCCAGGTGGCCATGAATGGATAAGCTCAACGCTGCCCAACTTGGAGGGGAAGCCCTGCAGGTAGCGGGGAGCCCAAATCCTCCCTGAATACCACCCTGATCTACCCAGGCTCAGCTCTGCCCACCGTGGCCTCTTTCTCCCTTCCTTCCATGCCCCAGCTCCAGACTCCCAGCAAGGTCCTTCACTCGGGCTTGGCTGCCCAAGGCCATCCCGGCTTTGATGGATGCTGTGCTTCTCCCGTCACATTACGCTACAGGAGTCAGACAGTCCCTAAGGAGACAACACAGCGCTGATTTGATTATAATGGGATGTCTCTGGATATTGGTAGTAAATACATCTTTTCCTACAAAGGGCAATCAATATTGGAAGCAGAAATCTCCAGGCACTCCTGAGACTTCAGCCCTGTGACTGCTTCGCCATAAAGCACATCAGCATCACTGCTTTTGTGTTCACTGGCCTCCAGAATAAAGTAAAACTGCTTTAGGACTCAAAATAAATAGGGAAATGAAATGAAGTTAAATAAATGAAATGCAAATAAATGAAATGCAATGAAAGCCTGGCTTGCAAGGGAAGAGTGGGGCTGGGGGCTGGACTGGCTCAGGACAGCTCAAGAAGCAGAGGGGCAGTGAGGAGTGACTGAGGGGCTGCGGGGACAAGCGGGAAGGGAGGAAAAGTGAAGTTTGGGAGGGGGGGGCTGGAGGGGCAGGAGCAGAAGGGATGGGAAGGCAGGGAGGAGGGGAGGGCAGGGGGCTCCCGCTGTCCCAGGCTGGTGTGCTCTTGCCAAGGGTGGACACTCGCTTCTATATGGCAGATAGTTTATTGATCCCTTTTCCTCCTGTGGGCTCTTGCAGGGCTGCCAACAGGTCCTGATCCTCCTGCCTGTCCTGCTTGCCCTGGGCATCCCTTCACTTGATGGCCAGCTGCAGCGTGGGGAGCTAGCCTTGCTGCTGGGCATGTGTCGGGTCAGGGCTGGTGGGGCAGTCAGGACTCCCCCAGCCCCTGGTGCCCACCATGCTGTGTTTGTTCCATCCTCTGTGAGCTGGTTTCCCTTTAAGACAGATTAAACTGTTTTCATTAAATTTCAATTACTCTCTGCAATCCTTGGCACTTTCTTGAGATGTGGGGTCAGGGAAGGGAAAAACCCAACAAGCCTCTTCCCCACCAATTTGGAAGGATGAAAAAGCATGAAATTAAATCTCTCAAATCCATGATCCTGCAGCTTGCAAATGGGCAAAGTCTGTCTCCCAGGACAGCTGCCTGGTGCCCCTGCTGTGTCCCCTTGCCCTGAGTCAGGCACCACGGCAAGGAGGTGGACGGCCTCTGACCACAGGGAGGGTATCTAGAGTGGTCGGCAGAAGTAGACCCTGCTTAGCAGATGGTCATAGCAGGGGCTGCCAGGGCATGGAGAGGATGCATTCTTGAGCCCAGGGGAAGGGGCTGGTTTTGCTGCATGGCCCCATTACTTTCCTTCCCCTCAGCTTGTGTTTTTTCGGGGTTGCCCTTCCTCTTCCCAGTGGCTTTGCTAATGCTCAGAGGTCTCTGAAGTACAGCGGATGACCTGTGCTGATTTATGGCAGTTTTGTGTGTCCCAAATCACTCTGAACCTCAGCTGGAGTCAGCTTCCTCTCGGGCATGGTTTACAACAGCAGCACTGGAGCTGCCTGTTTGCAGGCTCAGACCGGCTGCACTGAATTCACTTACAGCAGCAAGTCCTGCAAAATACATCTGCAGCTCCAGACACCAAGCAGTGTATGAAATCTCAAATCATGCAGGAGATGATAGCCTTGCTTGAAGAAGCTTCCTGCTCAGCAGCGACTCCTCTCCTCCCCTGGCTGAGCACTGCCAATGTTTCCGACTTGTAGGACCCACAGATGCTGCGCTTGTCTGCTGTGAGTGGGAGATGGGGCCGGTCTGGGGGCTGCTGAAGCTGGCGAGAGATGGTTCACTCCACTTCAGGACGACTGAATCACATCTTCATTGTGAGCTGA